GGGGGCCTATAGAGGAAACTTTCCTAGTCTTTTAAAGAAACTGAACAAGGGACAAAAATTTTACCTTCGATATTCTCAAAACAGCAGTAGGCCCCTTGCGCTTAAAAGCGACCCTATTACATGTAGGCCTACATGAACTGGGTTGTAGGTTTTTGTCTGTTGTTGTGAAGATCACGCAGTAAATCAATACTGTACTGTACTTTAGATAGATAGATAGATAATGATTCCCCCCCCCCCCCCAAAGGCAGTGCTACTGACTGGTGTCTATAAGCCATTCCCAAAGGGGGGATATTGACATGTTCTTATGCACAGTAGAATAATTGTAAATGGGCTGATTTATCAATGTCAATCTCATACTGTGCAGGAACAACATATGGGGGAACTGCTGCTTTTTCTTTCCTCGTCCTTACTATCATAATTTCCCTCTACTTCTTTTGTATGTTTGTCATTCTCTTGTTAACTGTTATTTCCGGGGTGCCTTGATAGTCGAAGAAGACTTTGTGCTTTTGAGGCTAGAGAGGTGAGCAGAGTAAGCCTGATTCCCCGTTTGGACTTCTCTGTTGGCATCCACCCCTTAGCGCTCATATTACCTCATAAAGTTGCAAGCGCCGTAAAGCCTTACTATAACATAACTACATCGAAAGTACATGGCGGCCTCTGCTGTTGTGGAAGAAGAAGCGGAAACTGTGGCCTATCCAATGTTCTCTCTCTCTCTCTCTCTCTCTCTCTCTCTCTCTCTCTCTCTCTCTCTCTCTCTCTCTCTCTCTCTCTCTCTCTCTCTCTCTCTCTCTCTCTCTCCCACAGATCATCCCCCTATTCGTCATCGTATGTATCCCGCTCAATCTGGGCATCGCCACGGGCTACAGACTACAGGACTATGTGCAACTCTCTCTCTCTCCCTCTCTCTCTCTCTCTCTCTCTCTCTCTCTCTCTCTCTCTCTCTCTCTCTCTCTCTCTCTCTCTCTCTCCCACAGATCATCCCCCTGTTCGTCATCGTGTGTATCCCCATCAGTCTGGGCATCGCCACGGGCTACAGGCTTATGGCCAACGGCACCGACGTCAGGTCAGGGTCTTATCATCAAAGTGGTGATCATAACAGCAAGAAGAAGAAGAAGAAGAAGAAGAAGAAGAAGAAGAAGAAGAAGAAGAAGAAGAAGAGGGGGGAGACGCGAAGAAGAAGAAGAAGAAGAAGAGGAAGAATGAGGGTTGAGAATGGTAAGAGTCCAAAAACTAATAATAATAATAATAATAATAATAATAATAATAATGATGAGGATGATGATGATGATAAGTATCATAATCATCATCCTAACCATCATCATCATCGTCATTGTTGTAAGTACGCCCCTCGGATAAGACCCCAAAAAGTTGGTGGTGACTTTTGCATTGGAAGTTTTCTAATTTATTATTTTGTAGAGTATGTTCATTTTGTGAGAGGAAGGCGAATGATTCCTGAACATACAGAGAGAGAGAGAGAGAGAGAGAGAGAGAGAGAGAGAGAGAGAGAGAGAGAGGAGAAAGAGACACAGACAGACAGACAGACAGAGAGAGGGAGGGAGAGACAGAGAGGGGGGAGAGAGAGCGAGAGAGGCGGATTGACAGAGCGAGAGAGAAATACAATTTTAGAAAAGGGAGAAGGGGGGCGGGGGACGTTTCAAATTTACCGTACTCATTGTATATGTACTGGATTATTATATATAAGATGTATAAATTAATGTACTCCTCGTCTCTCTCAGGCTGGTCAAGTCCCGAGGACCCCCACACGAGGACGTTGGTCCCAGCCGGTGCAGAAAGGTCAGGGGTTATCTTGTCCTGTCTGTTCTAAGTAACGTGTGACTTGTATTGTTTTAGTAAGAATTGTTTTTTTACGCCACTTGCAACACAATAAAGTCATATTTTTGAGTGTCGAAGATTAGAAGTGTTACAAGGGAGTAACATACACAAAAAAGAAGGAGGAGTGATTAGATGATAGATGTTTGATAGAAGGAGCAGACTCAAACTGTAAACTGTACTTGACCATAGGTGGTTGGCGGGTGCTCTGGTGTGGTTTAATGTGTGCTCCTTCTTTCCTGTTCCTTTTGAAACATGCAACTTCCTGATCTCTCCTCCTTATCTTTCGTTTGTTATTCTCTTGTAACATTAATGTAACACCTCTAATCTTAGGCACTTATATGACCTTATTTTGTTGCAAATGCCATAAAACTCTGACTAAATCTAGTTACGCCCTACACTAGACGAGTAGATGACACCATTGTATTGGTACATGTATTCTTCTCATTACGTAAACTAAACACGACACCGTCAGTTTAAAAAAGTTCCATATTTTATTAAAAACATGTAACACAACTAATAAACCTCCTCGTCTATCCCCCCTCTCCCACCCTTGGTCTATCCCCCCTCCCCCACCCTTGGTCTATCTCCCCTCCCCCTCCGGTCTATCCCCTCTCGGCCCCACCCTTGGGCTATCTCCTCCTCCTCCTCCGGTCTATCCCGACGGGAAAAAAAAAGCGCGG